ATGGCAGGTGCAGCAAACAATTCGAACAAAAGATTTGTGCGTTATAACAGACCAGAATGTTGTCGAGAATTTGCTTCAAACTTCTCAAAGTACAATACCGTAGAGGTCTCACTTTGTGACAAATTATAAACACCATTAAATAACACCAGGTCAATGGAATGAGAAGGAAAGCAGCACTGAGAGACGACGACTGTGAAGGATGTTTTTGCAGGGCGAAAGACTCAGTTAGCTGAAGCCAAGACCGTCACTGAGTACTGAAAAATACTCAACAGAAGACACAATGTCCAACCTCCCGAGATCAGGGGTGAACTGGACCCCTAGATCCGGGTTCACAGAGCTTGGACACCTCATTCATTGGCCTTCAGAGCGCATCCATCTTCCGAATTTAGGCAACTAACTGTGTTCACATACTGAAGGAATGAACCATGCTCACGTCCCTGAATTGAGTGAAAGCACAGCGTTCACATTTTCAAGTTAATGGAATTTGCAAAAATAAAAGTCCCAAGATGCAAAAACGAGCAGCAGTCCAGTTTGCTAGCAATATCACAGTGATGTTGCATCTGTAGAAGGAAGTTGTTGAGAGAAGGGAACATTGTTGATAGACTGCAAGGTCTCAGAATAAGGTTTGTGTTGGAAGGGCTTCTTCTTGACTGGACGAATAATCGATATAACGAGGCTTTTAGGGACTTCAGCTATTACCAGGATATAGAGGTATGTACAGTTGGACGTAATTGCATGAAACAAGGAGATTTCTCAATCTAGAGCAGCTTTCATCGTTCAGGATTTTGTTTTAAGGATCTGGAGATCGTTACAGAGATCGGAACTTTTGTATTGCTTTGTAATTTTTAAATTAGATTACACAAACAGTATGAATTAAGGCTCTGGCAGAGTTTACATAGATAGCAAACGTTGAATCAAAGAAGAAGACATTCGATTATGTAAGTGGTGCTTGATGGACGAAACAACACTCTCTCAAAACATATCAAGGAGACCACCTCGTCCCTTTTATCTTATCTGAAGGCAAGTGTAAAGAGTTGCATTTCATATGTGATTTAAGTTGTCAAACTACTAGTCATAAAGCAAAACATACATTATTCTTACACTACAGGAAAAATACAATTAAAACAAAACAAATTGGAATGACTTTGACTCTTCCAATTCTGCAGCATCCAATTAACAAAGCATTGGAAAAGGCAAATTCCGCAATGCAGATTGTCCTGATTTACTCTCTCCTCTCGTCCAGCAGTAGGAACATGGACAGAATGAACTTAGCTGCAGAGATCTTCGGTAGCAACGAAGAGAAATAGAGAGAGAGATGTATCTAGCAGCTGCAGTGCATAAAAAAGAAGCCCAACGACTGAAAGCAAAACTAAAACCCTGGGTCTGTATGAACCTGTCTTTGCTCAATCAAACTTCTATTGTTTGACTTCTTGTGAAAAAAAAGGTGACATTTACTATGTTTTCCATGGAGCAGACACCTCGTAACAACTTTTACAACACGCTTTTTCAATAGGAACAGGACATTAAAAATTCCACTTCAAGGAATTTCTTGTCAAAGGTGTTAGGCCCAGACGTAATCGCTGCATCCTAGGAAATTTTGAAAGGACAAGGGTAGGGAATATTCAGTGTCAATAAATATTTATGGGGAGATTTTTAATAGGAATGATCAAATTACTAATGTCAGGTTCCATCATTGGAGCTAATTAATCAATGAACATAATGGTATCGTCTGAAAGGGGGAATGTATATTTCAGTTAGATAATACTTGGCCTGCAATGCAGAGTAATGCTAATATGGTGGGTTAATTCTGCTCGAAAAGCTGAGTTTCTCAAAAATATCCTGCCTTTTCACCCTCACCCTTTGCCAATGGCATGGTTATACTCAAATGAAAATTAACACCAATTGTCTCCCTATAATGACACATTGCTTCTTGGGACTATGGCGAATTTGCGATGAAAAGGATTTTTGCGAATGAACGTGTGAGGACTGCAGAGTTTCAGAAGACCTCAGTTAATTCGGGGAGAAAACATTACAGGCGGCCATGAGTACACTAGCCTCGTCATAGACAAATCAAGACCATAGAACTAATAATTGGAGAAGAAATGACTTTAGCAACAAAGTTGGTAGTTGCATAGACTTTTAATACTACCTCAGCATAGTTGAACCAGTTTTAGGAATGGAGTCCGTTCGTCGCTGAATCTTTACACAAAATCCATATAAGTAATATTCAGTCATAACACTCACCAGACTGTACACTGTCAGATTTCTGCTAGCCCGGCCAAGATAAGTTCGTCATGTATGCCTGAAAACTGAATTACGTTCTGTGTGGAGACTTGTGAGTAATGAGTTAGGCCATTATTCATAAGAAGTGGCTGTTCCTATCAGCACATTTTAAAACTGCTCAGAATGGGCACAACGTTGATCATATGAACATAGCCTGTGCTTGCATATGTCAGCACATAATATTTGTTTTCAGACGTGATTCTATGATTGAACTGATGTGAATGAATATTCACGAGTGTGCTGAGAATTAGAACCATTTCTAAAATTATTAGTGACATCAGCATCACTTCGGACTTTGAAAACTGAACAGCTTAAACGAACACTTTACTGCCGTTTCTATTTCGAACAAATGGAGCATAAATACCTCTGCTGAACATTGCATAATGCTTGGGAAATTCCATGCTCAATCCACAATACTCTTCCCTGATCATGCTTCACTCCATAAAATTCCTACCGCTCTTCTTTGCTTGTATTCAACTTTGACCTGTGGTCTGAAAATAACTGGACCAGATCGGATATATTGATTGTTTTGTTTTTCGAGAGGTTGCAAAAACTTTCACTGTGAAGTGATAATGAATCTTCAGCATGGAAACAAATCCTACAGTCAAACTAACCCATAACGATCATGTTCCCAACATAAATTAGTCCCATTTGGCACCGTTAGACCACTATCCCTTCAAAAGTTTTCTCTTCATGTCGTTATCTAAATGTCTTTTTAATGTTGTCAATGCACCTGCATCCACCACTTCCTCTGACAGTACATTCTACACATGGGCCACTCTCTGTGTAAAAAGTTGCCCTTCATGTCC